CTGGTCTAATTGTAACTTGATATGCCATGTTTGGTTGATATCCCTGGGAAGCTTGCTCTTTTCTCAGAATGCTTTCTTTTCCTTCCCTTCCTTCTTTTCCCTCCCCTCCCATTTCTTTTTTCTTTCCTTTTTTCTTTACATATGTGCGTGCTCCGTCTTCATAAATGCCAGAAGAGGGCGCCAGATCCTATTCAGAGATGGTCGTATGCCGCCATGTGGTTTCTGGGAACTGAATTCAGAACCTCTGGAAGCGCAGCCAGTGCTCTTAACCGCTGAGCCACTTCTCCAGCTCCCCTTCTTTCCTTTTTAAAATTAAGATATTTATCACATTTATCTCTTCTTTGAGGATTCCGTACATGTATACAGTATATATTTTTTATCATTATCACCCTCCTTCCCTCTACAATTTTTCTAAGATATCCTAACTCCCTTTCCCAAATTCGTATCCTCTACTTTTTTTTTTTTTTTTTTTTTTTGCTTTATAACCCACTGTGTCCAATTAAAGCTGCCAAATGAGCATGGATGTTTAGTCAGTCACTGGAGCAGGGGCAACCTACCAGAGACCACAGCTCTAAAGAAAAGTAGTTGTCCCTCGTCAGAGGCCAACTGCCAACAGCTCCTCAGCTGAGGAGAGGGTGTGGGGGCGGGTCATGTGCCCCTTGCCATCACTGCTCGGAGACTGGCTGACTTTATCGTGTCTAGTTCTGTGTAGGCAACCATAGCCGCTGTGAGTTCACGAGCACAGTGGCCCTGTCCTGAAGACACTACTTCACCCCGATGTCATCTCACTCCTGACCCTCATGATCTTTCCACCCCGTCTTCTGAGATGAACATATGGGTGTGAGATAGATGTCCGCTTCACGACTGGACACCCCAGTGACACTTACTCTCTGTACGTTAGCCATTTTCTGCATTAACGACCACCCACTGCCTTTATTTCTAGCTATGTCCTTGTGCTTCAGTTCTACCCTGTGGGACACAAGAACCTGCTTCCTGGTTGATGATTCCAGCATGGATGAGGGAAGGGCTCGGAGGCTCCACTTCTAGCTGAGGACTTCCTGGCAACTAGGAAGAGGAGTCGTTTCTCTTCTGGAGTGTGGACATAGGTATGATGCCCATGTTCATGAAAGCAGCGCTTATTGGATTCAGCGCTTATTTAAACGTCACAGTAAGATATGAAGACGAGGAGGATACATACTGGGAGGTAGAGGGACAGTCGGAGGGAAGTTGAGTATGGATATTATCCAGTTACACTGCACATGTATGAATTTGCCAAATGAAAACATTTCTAAAAAAGAAACCAGATAGTTCTGCAGGTGGCCTGGGACTCAGACCCATGCCTATGACAGATACACATCGACTATCTAAGCCTTGACTTTTGTTTAATAAGATAGATCATATATACTTGTTGGTATAATATATATAAAAAAATCTACATCTTCATAAATGTTATTTCTTCACTTTCCATCAGTTAAAGTTTCTTAAAGAAAACGAGTTCTGAACATGTTATGTAATAACTGACTTGAGAATTGCACTTCTTGTATCATTAAAGGAAGACATAAAGTTGTTCTCTTGGACTTGCTTAATATTGGAATGTCCAACCAGAGACAGTGTGACTCAGCCTTACAGCAGTTCTAGAGGGTGGAAAGTCCAAGGCACCATGAACGGTAAGTCTGACCTTTGGTCTATTTGTCTACTTGGCCTGTAAAAATTGTGGAAAAACATAGCCAGGATACAGGGTGTGTGATAAGAGTTGGTGAGCCTCACATTTGGGCAGAAACCTCTGGAGATACAGAACTCAGTGAGGACTGTCCTATCCAGTCACTTCTACTGAAATAGTAGGCTTCTTTAAATAATTGCTTGAAGAGGGCAAGTCAAGACGACTCCCTGAAGACCTTAGAATGGACACCTTCTACTTCAGAAGAATTCAGTGGCTGCAGTATTCACAGTCTGAACAACACAATACAATAAATACATCATCTCCACCACAGAGGCCACAAACAGCAAATCAGTGACTCACAGGCTCCCCAGCCCTCACTGCTTGTCCTCAAACAGATTTCTACATTGGATTTATAAATTCCTGTCAAGAAATAAACTCAACTTGAGTGACAGTGCCTAAATATAAAGGTGAATAATTTTCTGGATTTATGTGTGTGTGTGTGTGTGTGTGTGTGAGAGAGAGAGAGAGAGAGAGAGAGAGAAAGAGAGAGAGAGAGAGAGAGAGAGAATCTTAGTATGAAATTTACTTTGAAACCATTGAAATTTAACTAAGGCAGACTATGCTCTATAATACAGGCAAGCCTCATCCAATCAGAGGTTGTGAATGCAAAGGACTGATCTTCTCTTACCTAAAAAGAGTGCTGCCAGCACAGAGCCTTCCAATTTGCTCTGCATCCCTGGCTTCTTTCTTCTCCCATATTACCAGCCTACCCTGTGCTTCTGGCCTTGCTAACCAATTTCTTAAAACAAAACAAGAGTAAACAAAAACCCCATTCACACACATTCTGTTGGTTTTGTTTTTCAAGAGAATTGTAAGAGCCTAGTATTTTGTAAGTTTTTTTAAATCTTTTATTAATTACACTTTATTCATTTTGTATCCCCCCATAAGCCCCTCCCTCCTCCCCTCCTGATCCCACCCTCCCTCCCCTTTCTGCATGCATGCCACTCCCCAAGTCCACTGATAGGGGAGGTTCTCCTCTCCTTTCTGATCTTAGTCTATCAGTTCTCATCAAAAGTGGCTGCCTTGTCCTCTACTGTGGCCTGGTAAGGCTGCTCCCCGTAAGTTTTTATTAACTCATGAAAGAACAGAATTCTTGAAACAGTGAAAATATGCTCATAGGCAATTCCAACTTTACTAACTGTAGGAAAACCAACATCTGAGTTCTTTGCTTTGTCTTTCTGTTCACTTTTTCTTTTTCTATTTATTTTTCTTTGTGGTGCTGGGGAATCAAACCCACAGCTATGCCTTGCTCATGATAGAGAAGGATTCTCCCATGTAGCTAGGGCTTGAGCTCCATTCTGCTGTGTGCATTGAAAAGGTACTGCAGTTGCCATAGTAACTTACAGATCAACTCAGGTTTCTCACAGAGGAGACATCTCACAGAGGATGTCTGCATTCAGTCCACTGGCGGGCTGTAGGCCACAGAGAGCAGCTGCCTGTGTACTCCACACCTGAGGGAAGTCTTACTATGCAGCTTCTAGGCATCTGGCTCTTCTGAGCTACTTGCCACTCAGCAACTGCTCAGAATGGCTGTAAGACCAGATGACCCAACAGTCCTTAGAGGATCAATTGACCTGGAAAGTCCAAGAGAAATTGTCCCAGGAAACAATTGACCTCAGAATATGGAGAAAATCAACTTCTGGGGACAACCATCTTACTTATCTATGATTTGGGAAAGCAATTGCGGCAATTGGTTATAGCATCATCAGAAACTGAGGAGGCATTCCAGAGATACATGCCAGGTCATAAGAGAAAAAGCAGTCCACTTTTCTCTTGAATCAAATTTTCTGCACCATTGAGAAAGATTAGTGATGTGCCCAGAAAGCATGTTAAACTGTTATTTCTTACTAGAAGAAACATAAATGTGTTTGGGAGCAGAGTACAAAATTTTCCAATTTTCCAAGATTTCCATAGATGAGTGACTTCTAGTGTGTTCCTGACTACTAATGCCAGTCAATATTATTTTTGTACTACCCTTAGCAGGATGCCTTTGATGAAAAAAAGCTTCAAATACACAAACACATGAATATGTAAAGGAAATTGGTACATATAAGCAATGGAATCTCAGATATCTACAAAAATATGAAACCAAAGCATTTGCAGAAAAATGGGATAGAACTAGAAACCATTATGTTAAATGAAATAAACCAGCCTAGAAAGACAAAGAGTTAGATGTTTTCTCTTATATGTAGAAACTATATTTAAATTTTATATGTATGTGTGCATGTGTGGATCATGAAGCTAGAAACAGGATCATAAGAGTGTGGAAAGAAATCTTGGATGAGAGGTGAAATAGAGAAAGTAATGGGGTGCATGTGATAAGAAAGAAGGACTTGAATGAGAGGGCTTCTGAAAGGCTCTGCCCTGCAGTCTATCAAAATAGACCCTGAGACTTATGGGCAACCTTTGGGCAGAGTGCAGGGAATCTTATGAAAGAAGTGGGAAACAGTAAGATCTGGAGAGGACAGGAACTCCACAAGGAGAGCAACAGAACCAAAAAATCTGAGCACAGGGGTCTTTCCTGAGACTGATACTCCAACCAAGGACCATGCATGGAGATAACCTAAGACCCCTGCACAGATGTAACCCATGGCAGTTCAGTCTCCAAGTGGGCTCCATAGTAATAGGAACAGGGACTGTCTCTGACATGAACTGATTGGCCTGCTCTTTAATCACCTCCCCTTGAGGGGGGAGCAGCATTACCAGGATGCAGAAGAAGACAATGCAGCCACTCCTGGTGAGACCTAATTGACTAGGATCAGAAGGAAGGAAAAGAAGACCCCCCCATCAGCAGACTTGGGGAGGGGCATGTGTGCAGAGGGGGGAAGAAGGGAGGGATTGGGATGGGAGGAGGGAGGGAACCACAGGGGAGATATAAAGTGAATAAAGTGTAATTAATAAAGAATTAAAAAATAAATTAATTAAACTGTAAAAGAAAGAAAGAAAGAAAGAAAGAAAGAAAGAAAGAAAGAAAGAAAGAAAGAAGGAAGGAAGACTCATTGGGGGAGGAAAGGGAACCAGCTAGAGAGTGAGAGGGAGTACAAGAGATGGAACAAATGAGAACAAAGTATAGGGACACATATGTATAGAGATGTCATGGCTGAAACCTGTTGTCTTATATGCTAATCTAAAAATAGTGAGATAAATAAAAATAGAATAACTTTAGAAATTGAAAAGTATTAGGAAAAAGGAGGTGTATGTCATTTCTGTTTGAGATGACTATGCTTTGAATTAACTACATAAAAATGAACTAACTCTCTCAAAGAAGAGGCAACAAAACTGAGAGCAGTGAGCAGAATGTTTTAATGACACTGTTACTTTGATTTTGCATCCCACGTCTCAGAAAAGTGCTCCTTTGAGCAAATTCTTTTACTTTAGTCTTTATTTTCTCTCTCAAGAGTGGGCATTTATGAAGAACTTCCAGTTCCATCCAGGTGCATGCAAGCGTTTTCACAATTGCTCCTTCCCAAACCTCCACGAGATAGACATAATAAGTAATGTAGCAAAGGCAGCATTGAATCTACCCATGTTTCTCCAAGCCTGAGGTTTGAGCACACTGTCATGGTAACTCCTACCACATATATATTTTTTCTCCTTTCACCACTCTCGTACATTTACTGGGCAGCAGATACATCAAAGGTCAATGTGGTCATGTCAAAATAGTGGTCTGCACTTGCTTTCAAAGAAGTCCATTCTTCCCAAACCTGCAAAGGAAACACAAGTGAAGATCTCCAAGTAGGTGGGACATGAGCTGCACTGGTTAGTTTCATTATCTAACACTTGTGTTTATCTGTTTATTCTAAAGTTCAGATATGTTATTTCTGGGGGACACTGTGAATCAACATGGCAGTCTTGTAAAATTACAGAATCTATTCGTTGATTACTGAACTGGTCTGTAATGAACATCCTATAAAGAAAGCACAGTGTATCAAGCCCATATACTTATTTCTTTTGCAAAATAAACAATGTCTTGTAATAGTAATTGTAAATGATGACTGTTGGAGAAAAGTGAGCAAAAAACAGGCTGGTGGTTTTCCTTAGCAGCTGCTACGGAGAAGCAAAGTAATCCTGGGAGACCAGTTAAGACCTAGCCATGCTGAAAAGGCTATGACTGGGACTATGTGAAAACAAGGTTATCCCACTTTTGTATGTTTTCATAACACTTTCATGTCTGGTGACAGTGACAGCCTGGTACTGAAAGAGATAAATAAGGAAGAAAGGAAGAGAGGGAGGAAGGGAAGGGAAAGAAGAAAAGAAGGAAAGAAGAAAGGAAGGAAAAAATTAATAATTTGTCATAGAATTATTTTTTGAAGTTGTTAAATTGTAAGAGGGGAATTATGGGTAACAGGCATCCTTAGGTTAGCAATTTCACTGGGTTCAGAGTTTCACAGTTTTTTGTTTTGTTTTGTTTTGTTTTGTTTTGTTTTCTATCAGAAAAGTAGAGGTGAAATACAACTGGCTGTGCTGATTATTGGTTCTCTTGGAGTGGGAAGAAAAGAATAGGAAAATGCACAAAAGATAAGCAAATGAAGGGACATCAAAGGCACAAAGATGATCACAGAGGTCATGAAATACTGGTCATGAAACAACTGAGAATAGACTAAAATGGGGCCACTATCCATTTATCCACCTTCCCAAGCATTCAATAATGTATTAAGCCTTGACTGAGCAGCAGTTAATTGTGTAGATCCAAAGAATAATTACCTCTATGGATAAGGCAAAGGTTTTGACTTTGTGACTTGGTGAAGCTGAGTAAATGAGACTAATAATCCCCGTGTGATATTTTGAGACCCGCTCACATATAAACAGCATTCGAAGGGGAGAAAGAAAGAAAAAAAAAACACACAAATGTCCCCTTGAAATGAAGAGTATATCAGAGAGGAAAGGACATTCGAGTTCAATCTTTCAGCAAGATGTGGCATTTATTAGGGAAAAGCCACCTTAGGCGGAGGGAGAGAAATAACAGTTCAGAGAAGCTAAAAAGGAAAATGTGAAGCAAGGCTGGCAACATCAGGATACCAGCGGATACAATACCAGTTTAAAAGATGACAGCAAAGGACCGCTTGGATCAAATACCAGTACCTCATCAGCCAGTGAGAGTCCCCTCCCAGCTGGGCGGTGATCTGGGTCCCAGAAATCTTGTAAGTGTACAACTTGTCTTTTCAGGCGTAGGAACTGGTTTGCTGGATCCTCCATCAGAAATGGTGCTCCCAGTACTTCTGCAATTAGACCAAGGGCAGAGAATCTTTCAGGACAATGCATTCCATGTCTATGTTTCTTCTAAGACAGGCACAGCTCTGCTGTTTGGACACTCTGGGAATACTAAGTCCTGGATACCCTGGGCCCTTTGTAACCTCTGTAGTGTCACCACTATAACCTACAAGTGGATGGAAGAGTAGGACAGAGTTGTGGTGCATGTGCAGGAGCCTCACGGCCTGGAGTAAAATTCCAGCTACACTGCAATTCTGCAGAAATTACTTAATTATTCTAAGCTGTTGCTTTCTCTTAGGTAAAGGGCTCTAGTACCAACACACATGGAATTGCTATATGGGCTGCATAAATGAATAGACACAGGCTCCTGGTCTAATGTTTGTATCCTGCTATATGGAGACTATGAGGCTAACTGGGCCTACATGAGATCCTGTCTCAAAAAACAAAACAATAAAACACACACGGGAAAAAATTACAAAGATCTAGAGAAATGGTTCTGTGGTTAAGAACTGTTCTTAACCAACTCTGGCTGTTCTCCCAGAGGACATGGGTTTGATTCTTAGCACCCACACAGCCATCTATAACTCCAACTGTGGGTGATCTGGCACTCTCTCATGACCTCTTCTTGTGTCTATGGGCATCAGGCATGTACATGATGCACAGACACATTTGCAAACACATTGCACATACACATGGACAACAGCAACAAAAACAGACGTTCTTAGAATCTTTATTAGTTTTTATTGTTTATTTAATGTTTTGAGAAATTTCTATATATGAACAATGCTCACGTTATTTTCACCTCCACTTCCCCCTTCTAACTCCCCTTACACTCCTCACTTCCTCTCAAATTTTGAACCCTTTCTTTTAAATTATTATCGTTACATATGTATGTATGGACCCCCGTGTATATTGAATATGTATTTACTCACACACACTCAGACACACTCAACCTTCTTCATTCACTTCGTGTTCCTCACACATACATGTGCTTAAAGCTGACAAGGGATTAATTAGTCTGAGGCTCCACCCTGGCAAAGGCTGATTCTCTCTCTTTCTCTCTCTCTCTCTCTCTCTCTCTCTCTCTCTCTCTCTCTCAGAAGCCATTATTGGCACGGAGTCCTTCATCTAGGGGTGGAGCCCTGTGAGATTCCCCTCATCTTGGAACCTTTATGTTAATAGTACATTGTCTTTTGTTTTAAGCATAGAAATGCAACACAATGTAGTCAATGTGGAGGGGGAAAAAAAAGAAACGGAACTACGCCCTGTGACCATGCAATCTGTGCCTCATTTTTGATGAACATTTCCCACAAAATGCAACGTTACGGAACGCTACATTAGGAGCTCTCCAGCTTCATAATTAACAGGGCTAATGACCAACTCTTTGCATAGAGCCAGATTATGCTGGCATACAGCACTCCCTCCCACAGGGCTTGCTGGTTAGGTGGGGTCAAAGGACAATGCTGTTCGGCAGAATGAGTCAGCTCATAATCCACTTACGCTGTTCTTGAGGACGGGGCATAGGACACAAACAGCTGTTTCCATGTATGTTCATGAAGATTAGATCAGAAGGATGGCAGAAGAGGCTGGAGTTCTCACTTTAAATTAGTGGAATGATGTGTGGAAAAGAGGCTTAATGGGAATCTACAAAGCATATGTCTGAAAACAATGGTTAGAAATAAGCAGAAGGAAGGGTCATAACCGTTAATATTTAATTTCAGAATACTGTATGAAGAGTGCCAGATTAATCCTGTCTTAATGTAGCTAATCCCGTTTCATGCAGTCCAGCTGAGATATTTCTGGAAGCCTTCCCACAGCTCCCAAACCCCTCTGCTTCCTGATGGTCGAACCCTGTACAGTCCCCTCTTTTTAGTTCATAGGGCTGTCCTGTGTAGCCCAGGACACTGCAGAAATGATGGCATGTGCTTCTTTTGTGGCTAGTGTACAGCTTCTGCTGTGTTCTTTATTGAGTCACTTGTTTTAAGAGAAGGTAGATGCGACCATCTGAAAACCCTTAAGTAATGCCAAGGGAGAGGCCCACACCTCAAGGGAATACATTTATTTATTGGTGCACACAGCCATCTGGGAACCACCTGATGCACACAGCCACCTTGGACCCTAATGCCTTAAGATAACTGAAATGCCCACACACCTGTTTAATGTGTCACTATTAAAATTAAAAACAAACAAAACCACCTGGGCCAGAATCTAGGGCATAAGACACACACACACACACACACACACACACACACACACACACACACACA